TCCCTGTTAAAACCCAATGAACTAAACCCTATTTTTGACAATGTGCAGGAATTTGCTGCTTGCTTGGGCTTTTCTTCACAGCGTAGGAATACGTTCATGTCCTGTGCAGCAGATAAGAGAGGATTTCCAAATATAGCTCAGCCTAGGAGCAGTGTTTATTCTAAACTCCTACAAGGTAGATGCAGCCTGCTTAGGCACCATCAGCACGCTGCGGGTCCTGGGCATGGTCTGAGTGAAATCAGTTAAAAGATGCTCATTAACATCAATGCTGATGAGGTTGAACTCTAGTTGTGCAGTGCCAGATTCCTCAGAGCTGGGATGAGAGTTTTACTGCATGTACCCTTTGTGGTGTCTAAATTCTTTTGTGGGTAAATTTCTCTTTAAGTTCAGAGCAGCTTTATTCAGGGAAAGAGATTCAACGGGTCATCCAGAGGGCTGATTAGCTTGGCACTGGTTTAAACATTTTTCAAGTAAATTAGCCTGCTGAGGTCTCCTTTGTTAAGCTCCAAGCAGAGCGAATGATTGGGCTTAATGTGAACATCCGGAAAAGGATCCAGAAAGCTGGTGCCAATGCTTTTTTAGTATCTCTGGCAGATCTTGTGTGCCAAACTGATCATGTGTCGAGAGGTAAACATAATCCCCAGCTCTGAGCTGATACCCCTCCACCCCAGCTGAGCTGACACAGACCTCGGGCTTTTCACTTCCTCTGTAGCAGGTGGATTTTACTTTCAGCACATGGAAATACCAGAATATGTTGTGCCTAGTTCATTGCTGCCATTGCATTGCTTATTTTCTCTCTGGAATAAAGTTCTAGTGTCAACATTTTTCTTTTATTCTAGACGATGCAAGTATTTGACCTGATTAAATTATAGGTGGGGTACTGGCATGTAATTTGAGGGTATCAGATACACAAGAGGTCAGACTAGGTAGCCCCATAGTCCCTCTTACAAAAAGAGTGAGACCCGGTAGGATCATTATTATAAAGCAACAAGAAGTTACAGAGCAGCAGGAGCTGACAGTAAGCCACGGGCAAAGCCGTGACATGTGCCACCAGGGTGATGCAGAACACATGTGGCCTTTCCCACAGCTTATCCGACACTGAGGTGAGTGGCGTAGCTGGATGCTGCAATGATTGGGTTCATCAGTGGAAAAACAATAAGTCAAACCTTTTGCAAGTCTCCTCCTCAGTGCACAGATTTCCTTGGATATTCTTGCAGTGATTCATTCCGACTCCAAGCTAGGAAGTGAGTCCTTCGAGGACCAGCAGGTACTTCTGCTGGTGTCTCTGGGGATTGCTGCTCTTCTGGGTACTGGCTGCGTGCAGGTTTGAGTCCCAGCTGCCTTCAGGGCATGCAGGATCATGCCCCTTCTCCTTGGAAACAGTCTGTTTTCCATTGTACAGATATTAAAAGTAACTTGTTCTTACTTGTTCATTTAATTATGGAGTCAGTTTGAAAGCTTCAGAAGAGTGAAGGGAAATAATGTTTTTAATTGGATTTTCTCATTAGTACAAAAAATGAAGTAGGAAATAACTAGAAGATGTTAAGTAAAACTGTCTCATTTAATGAAAAATGTATACCAAAAGGAAGTCAATGCATTCTTATTTAAATGTCATCACAATCTTTGTTTAAACCTTTAGTCTTTTTTTCTAATGGAAATGATCTTTCAAACTCTATGAATCTCTAATGCTAGAAGAGACTCCAGCTCTTGGCAGGTGGCATAACCGCTTATGTCCCTGCTGGCCAGGTTTGTCACAGCTGCTGAGCACTTCTGTCTGCTTATGACAATCAAACTTCCATTTCCCTTCTGTTAGCCACTCTGTTTTTTTCCACAAACACGTATGAGATCAGTACTCGGGGGGGGAAAAAAAAAAAGGCATGGTAAAGAGAGCAACTTAAAGGTGAGGTAACCAGGTCCCACTTCATGAGTGCTCTTGACCTTATTCCAGGCTCTGAAGAGATGCCATAAACTTCCCTGTGGTGCATTTAAGAAGCCGTCGCAGTGGTTAACCTGGATCAAGCAGCACATTTGGAGTGTAAAGGCTTAACTGGAGCTTTAATCACCAGCCACACAGCGATCCGTTCTGGAGACCAAAATTTAAAGGAGATTATTTTGAAGCGCTACCCTTATTTTCTAGTGAGCTTGACACATTAAATGACACTTCTTTTTTTTTTTTTTTTTTTCCCCCAGCCTAAAAGAATGCTGGAAAAAATACAGGAATGGAATAGAGCTACTATGCCGCCTAGTGTTGCCAGGCAGCGGTCGGGGGGGCATCTGTGGGGAAAGCCTGGCTAGCAGCTACTGCCCAGGTCTGTGTTTTTTCTGTTCCTGAACTGTTATAATGATAAGAGAACACATTCAACCTCTAGTTAATGTAGATGATGAACGCCAGCGTGTGCCAACATGGCTGGAGTACAAACCAAGACACTTGTACACACAGAGTGACCTCTTTCTCCACCATCATCATCTGAAAGCTCTTAATGCTGATTTAACAGATGATGAGTTTATAACCTTTTCGTGGATAAGTGGCAGAGTTCATGCAAGATTTTCCGATTTGAGAATTCTTTGTATATAGTGCTCACCAACACAGACTGAGAGTCTAGACAGCTTTTAGGTGACCTGCACCTGTGGTGACAGCTGGGAAAATAAACGGTTTGAACAGGATGAAATGTTGCTTCCAGGCTCTGTTCGATATATTATCGATGCAGTCATTATCAGAAAAGATCGAAACTCCGTGCAATCGCTTTATCTGACAGCCTTGTTTTCTCCTCCCTAGCTCGCTGAATGAGTCTACCTAATGTCAGACTCAGTGAATTTAGACAGCTGGCTGTAAGAAACAAACAGACCCTCATTAAGGGAGGCCCTTCGTGCTGCTTTTGTTTGTGCTCATCTGCTTTACTGGAATGGACAAGAAAAGCATGAATATTTAAAGCACTTTGCTGTGGCTGGGAACCAGCTGAACACAATTCTGCTGTTTTGTTTTTTTTTCCCCTCTCCTCTTCCGCAAAAAGGAAACCTCAAATGCCATTGGCCATGCTGTGCCATTCAGACACAGACAAACACTTGCTATAGTTGAAACGGATTAGAATGACAGAGATTCCTTGGTGGTTGTTGGGTTTAATGTGCAAATATTAAACAGCTCAAAAGCTGATTTGAGAGATGCATGGTTTAGTTGTTTCTGTCCAACATCCTTACACCCAGCAGAGTACTTGCCCCGTGGTTTCTCTCCCTAGCAGTCAATGCTCTCCAAGAGCTGCATTTGGACACCAGCCTTCTGCAGGTTTGGCAGCAGTTTGACATCAGGCAGAGAGTGCAGAGCTCCTGGCTGGGACTAGAGAAACACAGATAAATCCAATCTACTGCAATATGGCAGAGGATACGGTCAGCTTGCACCTCTTTCTTTGATCTTGTATTAAAACTACCCAGAGTGTATCAGTCAAAATTGAGATTTTACTTTTGGCTAGATGCATCAAAAGAGCACAAGCAAGGGCCCTTCTGTATGGCAGCAGGAGATGGATGGTCAGTGGTAAAGCAGTTTGCTGCACTTCATGCTGTCACTCCATATCCTGTTCATGGGGAGACTGACCTGGCATTCATTGTTGAAAATGAAGCACCTGGGGTTTGAACTGCTGTTAGGCTTGGGAGAGGAGTGAACAGATCGGAACAGGAAAGTTCTGAAGATGCATGCTCAGACTGTGAGAATAGTATCAATCATCTTTTAGTAAATGAGTTATTTTTCAACTGTTCATACATGAAATTTTCATTCTGAAAAGACATGAGTGCAAGGGAAGAAGCCAATTCCTGAAATACGGTTTAAGAAGGTGGGGTACAGTATCTGTGTTCCTTGGCATATATTGCATTGATAGTCAAAATCCCAAGGGACTTCAATGTAGCCCCTGTAATGAAAGGGATGCAGGACCAACCCGTCTTTTTGCAAAAGCTATGAAGTATGTAGAAATAAAACTTTGTCTTGGAGATAGGAAATGGAGCGTGTGACCTCATGAGCTTCTCTGCAGTTGTGTAGGGAACTGGGCTTGTTTAGTCTGGAGAAGAGGAGGCTAAGGGGAGACCTCATGGCCCTCTGCAACTCCCCAACAGGAGGGTGCAGAGAGGGGGGGATGATTCTCTTTAACCAAGTAACAAGTGACAGGACAAGAGGGAATGGCCTCGAGCTGTGCCAGGGAAGGTTTAGACTGGCTCTGAGGAAGGATTTCTTTGCAGAAGGGGCTGTTGGGCGTTGGAATGGGCTGCCCAGGGCAGGGGGGGAGTCCCCATCCCTGGAGGGGTTGAAGAGTCAGGCTGAGCCAGTGCTGAGGGATCTGGTGGAGCTGGGAACGGTCACGGTGAGGTTCATGGTTGGGCTGGAGGAGCTTCAAGGTCCTTTCCAACCTTGGTGATTCTGTGTATTCTCTGATTCCCTTTAGAGTGAAGATCTGGGAATTGTGCTGCATAGTTCCTATGAGCACTCCCTCTGTTAGGATCTGCAGACCCCAGCAGAACCACATACTGGCACACAGATAACCTCCTCTTCTTTCCTAGGAAATTTCCTCATTGTCTTGAAGACTCTTATCCATTTTTTAGCATGCAAGAGAGGAAAAGAAGAAAGATACTGCAAGATTTAGGAATTAATGTATTGACATAAGGAGGCCTTTAAAGGGTAGGGAAGACGTTTTGTTTCTTTGTGGGTAAACTGTGAACTCTGGGATTGCAGAGGGCACATTGTGCAGACATTCTGAGGTTTGTTTTTTAACTACTCCTGTGCATCTGTAGTTATTTGTATTTGCAGTGTTCTTTAATGTGCAGCACAGGCGCTAAGGGTCAGCTTAACCATTTCATTAACTCAGTTCTATGCCTCTAAGTGCTCTACAAGGTGCTTGATTCCCTTGTTCTTGTTCCCTTGTCCTTGATTCACTCCCAGATGAGTGAAAGCTGCTTAATCTCATGTCAGACCATCAAGTGAGGCTTGATTCGAGGCACAAAATCATGAGAAATTCCAACAGCCAAATCCTTTATGAAGATTTATTTAGAAAAACCACAATGCTGGGGAGTCACTGTTACATAGCATGGTAATTCTCTTCCTCTTGAGTAATATGCACCACACTGTGCGCATGCAATTACTTTTGTTCCAGAGATAACATCTTCATCTAGTGTTATACATGTACACATATGGTCCTTAGTGCACGCTGTGATTCACACACATGTTAGGACATGCACAAAGTTGAGCTTTTCCATGAAAAAACTGTATAAAAAATACAAACCAAACTGAAGCTGTCAACACAAGAAGCAATGTGCAAAAATAGACAGTTACTCCTGAATGTTTGACCAAGAAAAAAAGGACTCTTCTGTCCCTGTTCCTCATTCAGCATTGAGTATGCCAGATGTTGCTTGAAAGTAGAATTTTAAATAACTACTCGCATCCTGACCTCCTTCGTGTTAGTAGCAGAGATTTTTTTTTTAACCAGCTAAGTAATTCTATATTAATATGAAAATCTGCCTTCAACCATCACCATCGTGTGCTGTTGTTGTATCGAACAGATCTTTCTCTTGTTGCAATGTTTGTGAAGCTCAAGGCCAGGTGACAACCAAGCCCTTGGGTGGAGCACACAGAAGAGGCAGGACAGAGATGTCCCTGGTCACTGAGCCCCCCTGACAGGGGCTGCCTGGAGAAAATGGCCAGAGATTAGGAGTTCTCCTCACGCATGCTGGAAGGAGCCAGACCTCCCAGGTCCCCTGTCATGGGGCACACAGCTCCAGGCCCTGTCTGCTGGTGTGTGGTGGGGCTGGTGTTTGAGATGATGCTCTCAGGTGTCCAAGGAACCCTCCCTTTAGAGAAAGCATGCCTGTGCAAAGGGTATGGCAAGTAAAGGGATGGGAGAGCCCACAGGGCCTTCCCCAGCCCACTGTCTTCATCTATGATACAAACTGTAGCTGACACGGAATGAGCCACCTGACTATGAAACCATTTGTATGGCTCTGAGCAAAGCTAGACAGGACAACGTGCTGTAGACATCAGGAAGCAGTCAGACCAATCCATCCTTGTAAAACTGCTGCATGCAAATACCAATGCTTTAAATGGCAACTGAGACTAGAAATGGATTGCACTTGTTTCCCTTAAACACATATATGTATCACTCTCTTAAAAAAAAAAAAAAAAATCTAAAATCTTCAAAATACATTAAAAAAAAAAAAGATGGGTAATTGGGATTCCTTTGGTTGGATCAAAGGCAAAGAAGAATAAAGTAGGGGTAGTGTGATTCTAATCACTCAAGTTTGTCAGTAACTATAATATTTTGGTTTGGGGAATGAGGATTCTTCCTACCCATGAGATTTGATGCTGCAAAGCCCAGTATTCCCCTGGGAATCCCCATGTTTATTAAGGACTGTTTATTTAAGCCCATGCAGAGTTATGACTGTGTTACAGAACTTGCCTTTTTCTTTTTAATGGCGTATCAAAGTTTTTCCACAGCAAATCCTGCATGGATCCAGGGAAAAAATCTCAGTAAGATTCCCCTGTGTGTTACGGTTTTTACTTGCAAAGCAAAGATCTCAACCTTATTCTGAGGAAGGGAAGGGGAGTTGGATGTTGTAAAGACTGGGAGCAATCCAGGGAAGTGAACTGTGGATACTGCACTTCACATCCCAGTTCAGCAGACCACTTTAACAAACTATTTTAAGCGGGATTTAAGTGTATGTTATTCAGGTTGGAACCCAGTATGATGACCAGTATCCAACAGGAAGAGTGTTTGTTGCCTTGGACCTACTCACTTCCATTCTAAAAGGCACAGAGGGAGGATTCATCCTGTGAGCTTGCACCCCAGCTCTGGTTATGAAAATCATCACTTCAAGTATGTCCAACATGTATGGCTGCTCTGGGGGCTGCCCCGGTGTCTGATCCCTGGCTGCCCAGGTGCCCAGTGGCTCACATCTCTCCCCCCTGGGCCAGGAGTACGCTGCGCTGACCCTGACCTCTAGCACTGGCCCCTGACGTGGGCGAAGGAAGCAGAGCTTTATCCCTCTTGTCCCCAGGGAGCTCTCAGAGGAGAGGTGAGGGGCTCCCGGCTAGCAGCGCCCGCCCCAGGTGTGTGTCTGCAGCTCTCTGAAAGCACAGGGACGTGTGACACACCTAACCCGAGTCTCCCTTAGCTCCTACAGCATGCATACGTGCAGCCAAAATGACCCTCTGGCTGTCAGACAACTGTTGGCAGTGATAAAACAGTGGTAGGGAATCGTTCTAGACTACTTAGACTATGAAACATCAGACTGAATTCTTACTGACATTTTGATGCTGTTGAGCCCCTGGGGTTAGCTGCTGACTCATAAGTGTTTTCCACTGGGTTAAGATTACATCCACCGTCTGAGTTAAGGCCCTGATTTAGCAAAGCATTTGTGCATATGCTTAAACCTGCCCTTATTCATCTGCGACTACCTAAGTGCCTTGTGATACCGGGACAAACCTGAACTGGAGCCTATAAATTAAGCCACGTATCTGTCACATCCATGCTTTTAATGTCTTTTTTTTTTTTTTTCTGGTAGCACAGCTGCTCTCCTGGATAAACTATTGAATTAATCTTCATCTAAAAGGTCCTGAGAATGGTTCTATAATACTAACAAATGTACATAAATACAAGAACTAAAAAAAAAAGTCAAACATATGGCTCAAAGCAAAACAAATATTGCTCGGAATACTTGTTTAGATTAATAACTGTAAACTGCCCATTCTAGTAGCAAATAAAAACCTGTTGGTATAGAAAAAAAAAACCCAAAACATTCAAAATCTATAGGATTGGCAGCACTAATAGTATTTTACAGTGTGGAGTAAGGATAACACATATCAGTGTAACATTGCAAAATGATCCACCTAAGCTTTATGTAAACAAGTAGGCTTTGACAACGTTTATACGTCTAGGTGTGATCCTGCACGTGGATCTGGATGGAACCTAAGAAGGTAGAAGGGTGCTGTTCCAGCGTGGTTCCAGCTGCCCAGATCCCGCTGCAGGACAGAGGCTCAGGGGTGTGATCCTGCAAACCTATCCTGGCTTTACTAGTTCTACTCCTGGGAGCATCCCATGGCAGGATTTGGCTTGGCAGGACTATATATATGAGTAAGGATTATTCACAAACATAAGGCATTGCAGAACTTGGCTCTAAAATGTCTATTTTCAGCAGAGAATCCCTTATCCATACACACGATCATATTTTGACGTATTAGAAGTGTCTAAAGTAAGGGTCAGAGTCACTATATGTTATGCTCAGTAACACAGTTAAGATTCTGCGTATTGGCTTCAGATATTGCAAAACATTTTTTTTTTCATTAAAAATCAAACCAACTATGAATCTTTCTCATAAAAATTAAATTATCTGTGAAAGTTAAAAAATGAACAGGCTGTGTTTTCAAGGTTAAAAGGAGACAGTAACAGAAATGAGTAACTCCCACTGTAATGGTTTTCCAGTGCCTTCCCTTCTGACCAGTGGGCACTCTGAGGTTGCAGTTGGTGGCCTCCAGTCTTGCCCTGGATCCTCTGTGACATGGCTACTGCCGCTCTCCTTCCACACGCTTTTTACGAACTAGACCAATAAAACAAGAAACGAGTAGTCATTGCTTTCCTGAGAGCCTGAGGGCTTTTCTCACTCCAACATGAATATGAAGGAAGGAGCTGCTAAAACATACTCAGCTAAATTCTGTCCACAAATGCTACAATTAACAGATCTTAATGCTAAACAAAACAATTACACTTGAACTGCACTTTTCTATATCACAGAGTGTAGAATTTCACCAAATGTTCATATCAATAAATTTTCTGTAAAAATCAGATTCTAGCTAAAGGGTTTATATGATGAAGAAATCGCCGTTTCCGGTGCTTCCTCCCAATGGCTCCATTTAGATTTATTTTTTGTTATGGTTTTATTGTTATTTTAAAAGCCACTAAATTGATACTGGTCTGCTCTAGCCTGCATGGCAGTGCTCTGGATTATTTAAACCTCAGGCATCAAAAATTAAAAACTTTTATAATTGCACAAGTGTATACTATAAGTGAGAAATAATCATACCCTATTAAAAAAAAAAAAGTACTCTTAAGTATTGACATCAACGAGTATTGGCAACAAGACAAACATCATATTAGACCTTGTTATCTGTTTGAACTTCACATGCACTGATTGCATCAACCAATAGTAAATTAACTAACTGGATTCTCACTAGAAACAAATGGGTTGAAGCTGCCATAAGCGAAGCAGAGAGTGATGAGCTTTGTGTTACAGGCAAGATTATTTTGACAAGCAGCCCCATGTGAATTTTTACAGCACTTAAGTTACATTAAAGATGATACAGAGCAGGTCTGGTTGGCAGCATTTGCTACTCCATATCCTAATAAAAATGTATCGAGTTCCTCTGACTTGGCCAGATAAGATTAGTAAGGTTCTTCTGTTCATGTGATACAAAATTTGGTGTTAGATCAAGCTGTCATGTCCTGTTTCTGATACTGAACTGTTGAAGTACAGAACAAAAGCAGTAAAACTGGATGAATGAAGGCTTTTCAGTACAGAAAGTCAATAACAATATATTACTACAAACATCCCATTACTTTACTCTCAGGAGGTTTATTTTGTAGTGCCTTCCTGGCAAACAGACTGCATTATTCCAAAGCCTACACTGTAACATCAGTCATTTGTGTCTGCTTTCAGTGTTTTGCTGCTTCATTTATTTTGTTTTATTGAATTCTTTTAGGTATTCTATCCTACTAAATCTTGAACGAAACCATACAATACAAAAGCAGGAAAATGAAGACTAGGTACAGGACATATGTCTAATAGCAACTGGTTAAATAGTGGGGAAAAAAAAGTTTCTTTCTTTGTTGGTGGGATGTTTCAAATACCATTCCAGGACACTGACAGTTTCAGGACCAACAGTTTTTCATTGCAATGATTAGGTACCACTAAAAAATTAAAACTGCAGAAAAATAGAAGTGTGTGTGAAGAAATAGTTTTTCAGTGAAGCGAGCAAAGGCATCATGGTTTGTCACCCCACTGTGAAGTAGAATTGATTAAAAACAATTGTGGGTTTTTTTCTTTCCCTTCTATTGTAAATGACTCCTGCCTAGTCATCTCCCCCTCATTGTGTGTATTGAGCACACAGAGCAGGTCACGCGCAGGTGAGACTTGCATAGCTTTATTCTTTTCACCTGTACTTGCTCATACAAGCAGGAAATTTTTTTTTGTTCCCTTGGTTGGGCAGGTTTGGTCTATCATGGGCAGGGCAAAGAAGTGAGGACTTCTGAGTTCACTGAACAAACAGCATGGGTTTGGTGCTCTACTTACTGGCCAGAACAGCTGACAGGGCAGCAGGAAACCCAGGAAAGACTGGGAAAAGGCTGAAGGAACTTCCCTTGCCGGGAGTGGGAGAAGCAGAAGAATAGTTGCTCCTAAACACAGTAGGGATCTTTGCTGTTGTCTAAACTCCGTGGAGCTATGCATCACCCCTCCCATAGCAGATTGAAAATTGTAGAGTTAAAATTCAGTGTTATGGACAGAGAGGAAAAGTTGTGTCTAGGATGGTCAGGGCTTGGCTCACATAAACACATGATGAGTAGGTGTAGTGTTATCTTACCCAGATCGTTGTTTTTAGTGATCGCTGCCGCTACCCTGGTTCTCGGACCTTGCTTTGTGAACTGGTATCCAAACTTGAGAATCCTGGAGTTCTCCTCCAGCATCTTGGCGATTTCCATCTCTACAGCTGTCCCCAGCTGCTGCCTCTGTTGGTGATGTGATGAAATGTCCCCAAAAGAAAAGAAAATATTTGTTTTCATACAAGAGAGAAATGGGTGGTTATATTTCAGTACTACAAAGAGAATCCCGTCCCTGGAGATTTTTGCTCTGGGTTTTATATTTGGCTTTGACCAGTTTTATTTAGAAGTTTTCCACTGCTTGGCTGCATGGGCATGGGATGTGAGCTTCAGAATGACTGAGCCACAGAGGCTGCCTTGAGGGAGAGGCCTCTAGGAAAGCCATAAAGAAGGGAAACAAAAGTGGACTCACTCAATGCTCTCTTTACCTGGTTGTCAATTTTAATCTCTGTCAGGGATTCATTCCCTTTCAGTGCATCAATCAGTGCCAAAATACCCGTCCCAGTGATGAAGTTGGATTCTACATTCAGACTCTTCAGTGTTTTGTTCACTTTCAACATATCTGCAAATGCCTGAGAGGTCAAAAAGAGGGAATAGAAGATAAAATCGTGAGAGTTTCATGGAATAACAGGGAATCTGCAAAACATAGCTTAGTACCTACAAAGAAATAGGCTTAGAAGAACACAGAGGTAGATCAGACGAGATTACACTTCTTTGCATAGTCACAGGGAAATTTTGGGAGGGAAAATGAAGAATGTATCCTACAGCAGACACAGACCTACTTAAAAATCGGTTTGTTTTGGTTTTTTTTTCCAAGCAGTGTTCAAACTTACAATAGCTACAGGGTCATTGCTTCGAGTAGCTGCAAGGCTGAATGTCTTCACGTGCGTGTTGCTTTCCAAAGCTTTTGCAAATTCTTTCAGTGTTGGAATAGGAATATTCTACATTAAGAAGATAAATCCAGTCATTAGGAAAGCCGGTCACACTGGTAGACATTGATTTTAATTATGATCAAACTGATTGACTAATAGCCACAGTCTATGCAAATTAAACATCCCCAATGCTTTTAAGAGTATCTCAGAATGGACAGAGCATCCTCTGCTTCAGAGACCTGCACTAGGATGCCATGTCAGCACTGCCTTTAATTGGGTCAGGCCAGTGTAAGCACGTGACCAGTCTCTGAGGTACTTTCCTGGTTTGCTGCTGGTTGTTCAGTCCCCACTTGCCAGCTCCTCCTCCATTTGCATGTGTGGGCTAATTGAATTTGACTGGTCACGATTACATAGTGCCCATGAGATATCTTGCTTTACAGTCTGCTGCAGGCAGGCAGGCAGAGGGAGTCACCCCTTGGGCTTTTAATTGGCATTTAATTCAGTATCAGGCACTGACGACCTTGGAGCCTCTGCAACAGTTCCCTCCACATCCCTTTCCTGTGTGTCTTGCTGCTTCTGAGCAGTAGAGACAAAATTTGAAGATAAAAGGCAAGAGGAAATGAGTAAACCCTCCTATGACAATGTAAATGAAACCACAGCATTTACCTTTATGTTGTTGAGATTAATTTCTACGAGACTAGGATCATTTGCTTTTATCCTCTGTAAACTTGCTTCCACGTTGGTAGGATTAGGTGGCTCCTCAAAGATGGGCTTGACCTTTTCACCTTTCACCACATCTGCAACACAAATTCTCATGAAATGTTGACGTGAGGAAGAGGCATCATCAGTAACAGTCTGGCTTTTCAATTCCCACTGACGTTTGTACTGTAGCATTCAAGAAAGGGTTTCTATGGACCACAGAACTTGGAAACAGGAGCATTAGCCCTGCTACCCCTGCCATGCCCTTTGCACCTTCTGTGCACCCAGAGGCACGTCACTGGAGGCTGTCGTCACAGAGGCTGGGCAGTATGGTCATGGGCAAATTCTTCATTTATGTACAAAAGTCCCAGTACAATTAATTTGAGCCAAAGCACCTTTAAAGACTATTGGATAAAATGTAATATACTGCAAGGGCTGCTTTGTCCTTTGTCTAATATCTGCCAAGGAAGGTGCGCTCAGAACTTGCCCGTTACGTTAGTGAGAAAATGTCCGTGCACCTATGACTAGACTGTGCTAAAGGAACGTGCTCAGGAGGCCCCTCAGTTTCCTTCTCTCGGCTGATGCTATCAGCCTCACTATAAATTCAATTAGCTCTTGTAAAATTGCAACATCTGCACTTTCTAAATAATAAAACTATCAAAGCATGAAAAGCAAATCCGTCTGCCAGCACCAAGATTTATGAAGTCTTTGAGTATTCACGGTCCAAACAGATACAGTTTTTACTGCTGGAAGCTATGAGCTATAAATATTCTTAGAAATGCATAAAAATGATGGCTTAGAACACAATTAGTACTTCTAATTCCCACGCATGTAGCTGTGGAGAGTAATTTATAAACCCTGACCACCCAAGCCACTAGAGGCAAGACAGGAATATGTTACTGACCACAAATATGTTTAAACCCTTTTATTTTATGTTGCAGACAGTGAGTGATTTTGAAGATTTGTGCTCAGGTCTCAATGCTGTTCAGTGCAGCGGGTAAAGTTCATGTCATATCACGGGCCAAAAGAAAACCAAATATTTTTTTAGAACTCATACTCTTAGTAGAGATGAAGTCATACACAAACCTTGAGCTGGTTTTCACTCTGCTTCCTTTCACTCCAAACTGTTGTGTTGGGTTTTTTTTAAAACACTAATTCTCCAAGAGACCTCACATGTCCCTGAGTAACACTCCAGCCTTTCCCAGGGAGCAGGGAATTGAAAACTATTGGTAAAATGCATATAGAGAATTCACCTTGGATGCAAGGATGGAAAGTAAACAAAAACCTGCAAAGCATTTTTTGCATTTGTGGCAACACCCTTCCAAGTTGGGACTAAGGACAGATTTGCACCCAGTCCTCAGGTTAGACATCACAATATACTCAGTCTATTAGCAGAATTTTCCATTTTCTACTTCTTGTTACTTCCCATGAGTTTTTATCTTGTTTCTTTCATCATGGTGCTGTTTTGCCACGCTGACGGGCAACTTCTGAGATGTCTCCCTCTTTTACTGAGGCATTTCACTTGGCTAAGGAAAGATACTGCTTTTGAACCAAAGAATATAGTGAAGTGACAGTGATTTTTCTGGTTCTGAAGTCTGTGATTGGAGCATAGTTTAGCTGACTCACATAGCTGACATTTTGACTCAGTACAACAAAAATATTCTGAAATCTGTGTGGATTAGTAATGCACGCAGTTGCCTGTTAGGAGATAGATGGCAGCTCACACAGGGCCCCGCTGGGGAGGCTTGTAGAGCAGTCTTAATCCTGAGAAAAAATGAAGTGACACGGTGTCCTGACTACTTTCCCACCTCCCCTTAATAGTGAAGGATGGAAATGAATGGGCTTGGTAAAGATAGCTGCTGTTCTCATGGCATTACAAGAAAACACTTTTTTAGTACTGTTTCCCTAGAAAAGGGCATTCCACAATTTTGTCTTAAAATGCAAAGTTTAGCCCACTTGATATCCCAGAGCTTGGAGGTGACTGGATCTGGATCAAGGCTTGGCAGCTCTCAAGAAAAACCTGGAATTGAGACGTACCCAGTTCTCCCCCCTCCAAGCTCCTGTCAGCAGCTGAGCAAAGATCTGATTCACCAAAGGTCTGTTTATTTAGTGCCAACATTTCTGGATTTGTTTCTAGTAACTACAGCTGTTTCTGTTGGGGGATTTCCTGAACGATTATGCTTCCCACATACTGAAGGAACCATGTAAGGGGCCACATTTAAACACCTTGCCACAGGGGCTAAGGAGAGGCAGGAGATCAGAGATTGTAGCTGGGGCAGGAGCACATCCATGTGGCCTTTGCTTCCCTGCGAATGCAGCTTGACGTGACCCTGCTCACAGCTGGGACTCTGCCCTCTCACTACAAGTCATTTTTCAGTTGTGTAAATGTAGGTACTTGGGGTGAGATGGCTTGCCCTGTGCTGTGGCCACCTCTTTGCTACAGCTTGCTATGTTTTCTATCTGCTGACTAAAGTGGAATGAAAATATGTATGTCTTGGCTTCTTAGATATTCCCATCCTTTCAAACACCTCTGCATCTCTAGGAAAACAAAGCTCCTTAGGAATGATTTATTTGCATGGTACTGTTGTCATTATAATGAGTTTTAAGCCTGTGTTTATTTTAAAGAGCTACCCCTCATGATTAATTAGATCAATCAAGGTAAGGCCCAGTTACATTTCACTAAATTAGACCAATACACCCAACCTAGAAGTGTACAAGTCCATAAAGATGACATAAGAGAAATCTGCTTGCTTACTTCTCACGGTTCCTTTTCCATCTTTACTGCGGGCTCCTCCTTCGTCAAATTTTGGGTTGTTGACCATGTTGTGCACTCCAAGAACAGCTGAAATATGTAAATACCAGCAATAGGATACAGTGTGAATGGCAGGAACAAAGACTGAAGAAAAATACCTGCTACAAATTCGAGTATAGTTCCCCAAACAAAACCCCCTTTATGAAATATTAACTCTGAGTCATGCTTGTAGGGGGAGTCTTTAGGGGTCTAGAGATACAGACATCTTTAATATTGATGTCTGAACAACTGAATCAACATAGTATGTATATCACAGAAGTGTCAGCTGGAAGGAACCTCTGCAGCTCATCTTGTCCAGCCTTCCTCCCAAGCAGGAGTGTTGCCAGCACTAACCAGGTCAGCCATGGCTTTGTCTAGCTGGAAATATCCAGGGATGGGAAGCCCACAATCTCTTTGGGTAACTTGTTTCAGTGCTACACTCCTAATAATTTTTTTCCCTTAATATACAGCCTAAGCCTCTTATTGCTCTTTGTACCATTTGGCATATCTGAGAAAAATCTGACTGTATGTGTGGTTAGCTTAATAAATCAGCATTCACACTGGGGTTTCTTATAGAAGCACATGGATGCTAACGTGCTTGGGAAAAAAAAAATATATTCCAGGACTTTAAAATAAATAGTGAGGATAGAAACTATTATGAGAGCAATGACAAGAGAAACCAAAACTCCATAAAAGAAACTGCAATGTTATATTTTGTGGAAATGAGCTTGCACAGTGCCAGAGAATAAATTGTGCTGTTTGCTGATACTTTTCCCATAAATGATCTAATTGGACTTTATTCTATAGGATCATGCATTAATCAAAAGTTATTAACTTGATGTAGATTTTTTTACATTTGTTATCTTTTTTTTTTTTTATGGAAAATACTCTGTTCTGTAAGCAAATATCTCTAGTTGCTGTCACAGTCTATTTTCAGAACTCTCAGCAGTCGGTTTGCTACTCACTGTTTTTCATTAGACCTGGATACCTACAAATTCTGTTGTGAATGGCTGCATACTGACCAGAGCTGAGTAAAACTTGGAACTCCATTCCATGAACTTAAGACTTCTTGAGAAGTGCCAACTGCATTCTAATTCTGTGGCTCCTGTGATGCTTCACATTTCAGTCAGAGCCAAGACTAATGCATTCAGAAACGGGTGGTGTAGCCAGGAATTGCAAAGATAATGGCAAGATCCCATCCTCCAACAGGACATTTTGATGTTGATCTAACCCAGATTTGGATTAATCTAAAATGCTGAAATATTTCTTTTAGATTTTCCTAATGAAAACAAAAAAATTGTCAATAGTGTTGCAATTCTCCCATCAAAATTTTCATAGAGACAAAGGCCCCAAACAGGTACACCACGGATCCCAGCCCAGGGAAGGACAAGATCCGCTCTGAAGTGGGTGGACAAGGCTGGAGGTGTCAATGGTTCCATCGGGAGCTCTCAACACCAGGTTGTGCAAGGTTTAGGATGGCCCATTGACATTACTCTCAGCAGCTCTGGCTGGTTTGCTCCTTCCCAAATGAGGGACTCAGATTATTTTCGTAAAGATGGGACACACCCGTGATAGAAACTGCTTGAACGTCACAGGCAGCTCAAGAACTGTAGATTGGCCTTTGTAAAATGCTGTAGGTTCAAATATTATTTATGCAAGTGGATACACCTCAAAATTACTTCCTTTGTGCACACTCTAGATTATACTCTGGATTAAAGGAAAAGAATTAAAAGTGGAGAAGATACCCAGGTCTAATCAAATGGCAACCAATTTTCTGATTGAAGGGATTAAATTCCAGCAGGATCTTCATCCGCTGCACCCTCTGACAAGTTTATCCTGCCATTTGGGATGTCAGAGTTGAGAGGAGGCAGCAATTGTATTCTAAGAACAATGCGAATGCAGTAAAATCAGTGGTCTCCATCCCAGCCTTCAGTCTACCACCTACCCTTCCTTGCCCCAAATCATGTTAAACTGGTTCATCATCTCCCCTTGCCTGACGCATCAATTTTAAGGAGATGAGAGAAGTCTAAAATGCAGCAGCTATCGAGTCACACTTGAAGCCATTGTGGGCAACGTGTGCCCACAGGTTGGCCACTTGTCTGCATAGTGAACCAGCAGGTACTTGAGAGCTGATCCTGAGATGCTCCTGGTGGCAGGTTTAGGCAGAGAAAAGCTGGACGTGTAGGGGTATTCATACCCATATATCATCTAACCTGCAAGGTCATAGAGCTCAGTGTCTGAAGCGCTGGCCAGGGCTTCTTCTAGTTCCGGATCCAGGGTCACTTTCTCTTCTGTACGGGTTTCTATGGGCTTTTCTTTAGGAATAAATATTTTTCCTAAGAAAAGAAAAAAAAAAAGCCAGAGTGAGTAATGAATTATTGGAACAACTCCTCTGCCTCCTGGCGGGGATGGGGGAATAGGTCTGTGACAGTGGAACTGCCTGGAAATATTCTCAAGTGCATGTTTTCCTTTCTTGATGCTATCCTCTGCACCAGGATCTTAATAAGAGTCTGAAAATACTTTGTGTTGGTGATTGTTAATATGGAAGCAAATTTCCTAAAATAAATGCCCAGGAGCAGGCACAGCCGGCATTCTTCTGAAGTTGCTGTGGCCTTAAATAGGCAGAATCAGGTATACAGAGACAACTTGCAGAGATTTCATCCTTGTATTTAACTGAGGCACTAGAAGCACCTAAAACCACTCAACTGTAAGAACTTTTCAGTTTTACCAAATTCCATGCAAGAGCCTGAAAGCTCAGCAAACCTGTTCTCTTCCAGGAACCCAGTTTAATTCCCAGCCTCTCCACGAGTATTTTCCCTCTGTGTCTCCTATGATCATTCCCATAAATAGCCACATCCCGATCATCTATGCAGGTTTGAAAAGTCTGAACTGAACTGACCCACACGTTCCCCAAGAAAGACTCCTGACCCGTTTGTCTCTCTCTGTACGCTGCTGTTACAGTGGGGTTAGCAGGTGCGTGTTTCCATGCAATATTCCCCCAAGACTGAGATCACTGGCCCTTCTGCTGAAATGAGAAAACCGTAGGATAAATCCAGAAACAACACAAAAATTCCCACTGCTCCTTTAGCCTGCTGTTATAACCTCAGCAGTGTGATGATGTAACTGCTGCACTTCAGCCACCACCAGCACTGCTGGGCCTTTTTTTCCACTCAACCCTTTCTTGTTCCACACGCATCCAGTCAATAATACATTAGATGATGCCACGTGCCACGGACGGTGTCATGGCTCTGATAATTCTGTGAATTCCCGTGTTCTCCTGTCCGCCGTGGAGGAGTTCCCCTCACCTTGTCCCTAACAGCTACTTCTCAAGCAGGCTTTAGTTAATCCCATTGTAATGAAGCTGTGATGACCTTTGGAGGCAGGTGGCTTTGGCCCACTGTCAACTTTAAATTGTCCTTTGGTGCAGCTCTGTACACTCTGCATGGAATTTTCAAGCCTCTCCTTTCTGGAATATCTCTAAAATAGTTTAATTTCAACTATATGAGCGATACTATTTTGTTACCATGAATAAATGCAGTTCTGATATTTAGTGCTGAATTACAGATGCTTTGTCATCCTTTTGTGGCTAAATTTTTCCCTGTTATGGTCCAAAGTATCATTTTCATGTACATAATACCCAATTCATTTATCTCTTTCATACAAGTTTGTCTGCAGAAGTTTCTATACTGTCAGCTTCCATGACTGAGGTCACTGAATAAGCTCAGAAGAAAATTGTAATGGAAATTTCTGAAACTCTTGTCAAGGTTTACTGATGCTGGATTTGAATTATTTACCCAACAGATATTTGTCCCAAGGCTAAATAATTTCTGAGTACAAAACTGGACAGAAGATTATCTAGAAAGAAAAAGCAGTATCATATTATGATTCATTTTTCATGTGATATTTTAGGTAACTTTTTAAGAAGAGGCTTCTAGAAGATAAAAGCCTTTGTGGGCCAAAGGTAAGAATCATTTTAACTTTCCCCACGCACTGGGTAATATGAATCAGACACAGCCAGCCCAGCAACATCAAACAAAAGTCAAGTGGAAATCTAGGGTGAGAAATACTCTGTGAAGATAGATTAGTCACGCTCTCCAGATTTCATAACAGCACAGGTGCTTTCAGACTCTCTCTGTACCACCACCCGGTCTGAAGTGTTGGATAGCAGCTTCCAGACAGCGCTGACCAAGCCTTAACCTGATGCCAGCTTGACGGGGAACGATAACACATAAGGAGAAAAACTCATTACCATGTTGGAAGCTAGAAGACCAAAATTAATCAGAGTATCTGAGTAAACAATCACTAGTGAGGAGTACTGCCCATAAAATATTTTCCTTTCAGATCACTGGTGGTTCCACGTGAGTTTCAAGTCATCTGTAGGTTGTTTGAGGTATCTTGAAGGAACCCTACTTATCTTTCCCCTAACAGCTATACTCTACAGAGCCACAGTTTGCATGAAACGCCTCCATCAGGCAATAAGTGATTGTTCACAGACCCAAACCCCAGCCACACTGTTAACAAATACTGACAGAAGTCGATGCTTTCACACATGACATTGTAAGGGGACGGGGGACCTCGAGTCTGATGTAAACTGGACACGGTAAGACAGTTGGTCCTTCTCTATGAACTTTGGATGTGGATAAACCAAGTATCTCGTGTAGCAAGAAACCCAGGGGTAATGGAAACCAGTACTGGCTCTTACTGTTTCTGTGCAGCTCACATATACAGGAATAACAGTTTTTAAGAATTTGTTTCAGACATATGTAATTCTTGGATAGCAGCCCAAATCTTTTTAAATGTGTATATGACTCCCAATGATAGTTTCACTTAAAGCATTCTTGGCAAATGTTTTAGAAAAAAATTCTATTACTGGTTCTATGAAATATTTAAAGGGGCAAGGTCATGTCAAAGATGGTAATATATATCTTTAATATATGCGAGCCTTGCTGGCGTCCAGTGGCGTTTTAAAAATATTCTCTTTTTTTTTTTTTTGCTATCTAGATAAGAACATTCTTTTGCATTATCCCACTGTGAAGAGATGTAGTATAGCAGATAGAGGTTAGAAAAGCTGATGCATTTAGCATGCTATTAGGAATTCATTACCTGTCCACCAAAACTGTGTGTCTGTGTTTAGAGACGGCTGCCAACCGGTTTTCCTTCATTATTCTAAGGACAGAGTTTGAAGATTCAGGAGGTCCCTCCTAGCCCCACATCCACACGTTGTAAATTCATTATATACTGCCATCATGGAATTCACCGATGAAATAAAATATGGATTGTGGCTTGCTGCTTTCAGTGGTCCAGTTTAAATTTAAAATTTATTCTTTGGAAAAAGGCTTAAAAGAATAGTGACATTTTATGATTTTAAAGTGAGATTTCTGAAGAAAGGCTCCTGCTCTTGGTGCTCTCTACATTCACACTGTATTTTAGAAGGTACTTTATTATAAACATTCCATGTGGTATAATTACTGTTGGCTGTGATACATTTTTACTCCAGAATATGCTTGTGTTCTCTGCTAAGTCCTAGTAGTAATAACTTATCTTTCCACCAATGAAAAACACAGTGACAAAAGTTACATTTATACATATCATACTTTAACACACAGATAACCACATTTATGTACAAAAATAATATAGTCTTGTGTTTAACTGCAAAATAAAATTAAATTCCAGTAAAAAAGAAGAAAGCATTAAAATATAATTTGAAGAAAGCATTAAAATATAATTTTTTTTTTCATGGGCATAGAAACCCAAAACGTCTGGATTCCAAAGTGCTTTCTTTGAACATGAAATTTTAAGGGTAAATCAATGCAATTCTCCCCATCTTTCTGTGAAACTGGGATAAGTGCTTGGGGTGACCTGGATGACAACTGATGCAGCTTATTGTAACCCAGAGACTTTCTGACTGTGTGTGCAGTGAGTAGTGATCTGTCCTGGCTCAGTCTAACAGCAGACCTGTTCCTTTGCACACACTGCAAAACTTCTTTTCAAACTGAAATATGATATGGTTCATGTTTTACTCAAAAAAGGGGAAAAAACCCATTGAAAACCGGAGAGAAGGATTCAGTAAACAAGACCACAGAGAGACACGGTAATGCAGAGTGAGATAAAAGGAAACAAATTCTATGAAAAGAAGAAATACACTAGGTACAGTCATAAAACCACGGATGGAATTTTGCCACTTGGTTTCAGCGAGCTCTGATTTCCTGCACTATGCAAACACCCCCATAAAAGAAAAGTCAAAGTAAAACAAAGAGATGGATCCCTAACTTCATCTCCTTATGCAATAATACTTAACTACGTAACCACATCCACAGGAAAACGTGTTAACTGAGCAGGGAACTACTTCAAGTGTATTTTCTTGAAGTAAGTTGATTTGTTTTTTGTTATCTAAGGGCAGGAAAAAAAGGATTTTGAATAGCATTGTTGATAGGATTTTACTGGTGTGTCCAATCTAAAAAAAAAAATTGAGGATTTCATCTTCATTTATAATTTACAGCATGTGGAACATCCTTTTTGGTATGTCTTCTCTCTGCCTGCCTTCTTCTGTCATTAGACTTTTGTGAATAAATATAAATTGCCAAATTATTTAGTATAAATACTTAGTATTTATTCCCACCTTGTACAAGCCAAAACTCAACAAAGCACCGAGCGATGGGAAATAAGCCCATTTATATATAGCTGTAAAAATATCCTTTTATTTAACATCAGTTTTATTAAAGATAGTTACTTAATTTTATAATACAAATGCATTTTCTGCCATAATTGTAAAAAAATACTGTACTTTCTTTTCCTATAAACTGTAGCTCGTGGTATGGTACTTCCAAGAAAATATCTGGTTACACTTACTACTTCTTCCTTTTCAATGAATCAGTGGCTACAGTGAGTGCCTGTTTATTCTCAATTACAGAATTGCTGCACTGACCTTAGAAGTGAAATTCAATAATCCTGGAAATCTGCCTTGCATAAATCACAGGCACCTGATTCACTTTTTCCATTTGCACTATTCTTTTCTTTTGAGGCTGACTGAAACTCCTCCTTACAAAATTAGTTCTTACCAGGAATAAATTTGTATTATGAAGAAGAAAACAAGCCGAGTTCAAATAAGTGTGAAGCTGAAAGCTAGTAGTAATTAAAATGCAGTCTCGTAATTGCTGCTGTTACTCTTGGATTAGCGTCTGCATAGTCTACGCCTTAAAAATTGTGACAATGGAGTAGCAAGGTTGCAGAGTTAAGCTTTGCAGAGTTATTAAATCTGTTGTGCATATACAGAAGGTGTGAGGTTAATTGCACTGGCATCTTTGACTTTGATCAGCGTGCTGTGATTCTGCCACCA